TAAGAAAACAGAACGTGACTCCTCCCCTACGGCCAATTCTCACAAGCTGGTTTTCTGTGAATAACTGTTTTGGGGGGTGATGTATCTTTTGGGCTGTTGAGAACATGGAGCAGTTTCAAGGGAGGTCTGGGGTTGGAATGAATGAATTACTGGTAATCCACTAGTGGAAACATGGGGAAGGATGATAGATTGAAGGCACTAAAAAGGCCAGATGAGGAAAAGAGGGGAAGGGAGGGGAAGATTCCAAATCATTTGTTTCCCATTTAGTGACTATCTGTACATCATACAGGGTGATAACTTCTAATGATAAAACTTAGAACTATTCTAGACAAAAGTTCACTTGTAAAAGAAAGCTTGCATGTCTTGAAGTAATGGTTAATTCACAACTGACTGATAGGCTGTCCATCTGCTTATGACTGCATTAAGCAGTCTGATGCCAACTACCCTCTCTCTAAGTAAACTAGTGCCAACAAAAAGTCTATGTGAAAGAGTCACACCCAAACACAAAAAATAGTGCAACAATGGTCCTTCAAACTGCTCCACACAAACACCCCAAGGAACTCACAGACTAGAGCACAGACAGACAGACAGGCAGGCAGTGCCTCCAGCCTCACTCCCCACAACACCCAAAAAAAACAGAATCACAGAGAACAAACATATGCAAGAAAAGAGAGGAATAAGGGAAGGAGAGAAATAAATCTCGTTCTTCAATTTGTGCCATTACCCCCCCCTTCTTTTCAAGGAGGAGGAATAGGCGGGAGATGAAGAACGGGGGAGCACCGCATTGCTGATGTCAACTTACTCGGGCAGTCGAGTTCATCTGACCCGTCCTTACAGTCCGTATCCTCATCGCAGTGCCATGCCATGGGAATGCACTCCCCAGAGCCACACCGCCAATGCTCACTATCATCGTCCTTGCACTTGGACACTTCTGAATAGACAGGGGTTAATGTAGAAAGAAAGAAAATAGAGAGAGACAAAAAAAGGGGAAAAAAAAGAAAGACTGTGGGGTTTGTCACGCTAAGATGTGTGCATTTTCTTGTGCTTCTTAAAACTATTTGTTTCTTAGTTTTTCATATTATGGGTCTATCTACTCTGAAATGAAAATGTATTATAATTTGATGTACTAGATGCTACTGCTACCTATGAAAATTTTACTGTACATGAAAAAGAAAGATATAACTGAGATAATAAAAATGATATGATAGTAAAGCTTAAAAAAAAAGGCTATCCATTTCTCCAAATTATGGAGTCCAATCAACAAATTACTAAATTACAAAATAAATCTGGCATGGATAAGGCAAAAATGCTTCCAAGGATTATAAATGACAATAAAACAGCTGTAATAACTGTAATATTAGTAATAATGATGAAACAGGCCAAAGATAAATAACACGTAAGTCAAACCATATCAGAACACCAAGAAGAGAAAAGAAAGAAAGAAAGAAAAAAAAAAAAAAAAAAAAAAAAAAAAAAAATAGTGAATCACATATTTGAATCATATATTTACAAAACTGAAACTAAACTGCAAAAACTAATGATAACAATGATAGCAATAATGATAATATCAATACAAACTGATAATCAATATTACTACATAACAAAGGAGTCGTTTCTCATTGACCCAACCACATACCACAGTACTTCGAGTCCTCATCACTTTTGTCGGTGCAGTCTACGTCACCGTCGCACTGCCAGCGGTGGGGGATGCAATTCCCGTCGCCGCACTGGAACTCACCCTGCTTGCACGATCTCTCTGAAATATTGCAAGCCAGAATGAGGAAAAACAATTTAAAATGTTCTTAATATTATTACTAGAAGGTAGCTTAGTCTAAATGGTATGATTATTGTCTTGAGGGTTTTAAGTTACAAAATTATAAATCACCATAAAATGATAATGCTTTCTCCATATCACTTGAAAGCAAAAAAAACAAAAAACCTAAAAAAAACACAATAATTATATATATTATATATATAAAAAAGAAATTACTTCACTACAATGGCTGCTATTTTCCTATATTTTGGAGCATTCAGATAAAAGTGTGATAAATAACAGCAATGATCCTAATTATGCTTTGCCTCATTTAGTGAAAATACTTGCAGATAACATGGAAGGGAAAGGGGAGTGGGAGTTGAGGATTGAAGGTTGAGGAAGGGAAGGGAGGGGAGGGGAGGGGAGGGGAGGGAGGAAAGGGGAAGGGAATGGGGAAGCAAGATGAGGAGGAGGAAGGAGGAGGAGGAGGAAGGAGGAGGAGGAGGAGGAGGAGGAGGAGGAGGAGGAGGAAGGAGAGGAGGAGGAGGAGGAGGGGAGAGGGGAAGAGAGAGGAGGAGGATTAGGAGGATGAAGAAGAGGAGGAGGGGGTAGGGGCGAGGGAAGAGTAAAAAAAAAAGAGGTTCGGGAAATCTATTGAGGAAAAGAGAGACAGATCTATACACATATTTAGGAAATGTAGAAGCAGACAAATACATATACAGAGGTGGACAAACTGAATAATGGAAA